CATAAGGGGCCTAATATCCCTCTTCGTCGTCTTTTAGCTCCTCTGAGGATTTAGGGCCGTTGGGTCTATGGTGGCTGGTTCGTGCTGTCACGGCTCGTATGGAATTATTAAAGGACCCAAGGTGCGACAAAACTGAGGTGAGGAAGCTTTATTTAAGGAACGTCCTCAAACAACAAAGGCAACGGTGGCGAAAAACAGAACTGAGTAAAACCAAGCATAAAAACCAAACCAGAGACAAAGGGAGATGTGGAGGGAGATACGCAGCTGAACCAGCAACGTACAGGAGAAAACACAGGGCTTAAATAGACCCAGGGCAATCAGGGAATGGGAAACAGGAGGGAGGCACGGCTGTAATTGGAGAGGTGAAACTGGAAACACTGACAGGAGACACAGACCTACAAAAAAAAAAAAACAGGAACTCACACATGCAAAGACACAAACACTAAACCAAAGAAATAGAAAACCAGAACCAAAATACATCACAAAAATAGAAAACACAAAAGGCTGGGTCCAAGGACCCAGGATCATGACATCCGATCAGCAAGAACCCTGTTGTGCTCAGGTCTTGTTCTGAGTGTTCACGGCAGCCTCAAGCTTCTCCAAGATCTTATCCATGCTGCACTCAATGAGCCCATTTTGAGAACTCACGCCTCGTCCCATCGTTTCGATCCCAGCGGGCAGCCTTGTGGGGGTTTGAACAGCCGATTCCGCTTTCTTAATTCTTCGATAAGCCAGGGCCAAGCCAGCTCTGATCAGCAAGAACCCTGTTATCATGGTTCTGAATAGGTCGATATCTTCAATGTCCTTGATCAACAGTTCCACCAGGCACACGATCCTCCAGTTTTGCTACCCGTCCATCGTGTATCCGGCAGGGAAAGTACCTCCAGAACACTCAGGCTCACCAGAGCCCAGACTTCTCATTGAGAAGAGGGTGTCAGTTGTATTCAGGGACCAGTTGATGACATCCATAATTCCTCTTAGGTTTTAGAGAACAGACTGTGAGAGAGTGTTCCAGGGAAATGGCCTGCATTTATATAGCGCTTTTCTAGTCCCTAAGGACCCCAAAGCGCTTCACACTACATTCAGTCATTCACCCATTCACACACACATTCACACACTGGCGATGGCAAGCTACATGAAAGAGTAAAGAAAAGAGAGGATACTCGACAAGGACACAAGAAGCTAAGCAGGGAAGGGAGAGGAGAAAAGTGTGACCGCCTTCGCCAAGAGCCAGGAGCCTTTGCAGCAACAAAAACATATTCCAGAAACACGCTTTGCCGATCCGATCAGCTGTTCATAACACTTCCTACATTGGAATAGACATCAGCGAGAACTATCACATTTCCAGCATTACCTTCCCGAAAATAGAAGTGACCTCATATTTCATGGGAAACAGTTTTTTCCCTGATGACATTTATAAAGATTTACTGGTGTTTTTAAAAGTCATGTTTGACTTTATGCCTTTCTGTGTATTTTCTGCGATGCTTAGATCATACTGCTGGAAATACTTTTAGGGTTTTTTGTTTTATTATTTTAGCAAGTTTGGATTATACTATTGATTTTTGTTTTTCCTTCAGGAGGTGTGTTTTTTAAGAGGTATAAACCTCTTAAATTTTGTAAAATATATAAAACAAGAAATATGTGCAAACAAAACAATTTTCTTTTTTTTCGTTTATTGCACTTTTTTGCAATTTATGTCGATACTATGGACTTAATGCATACATATTATTATTATTATTATTATTATTATTATTATTATTATTATTATTAAAATTTGGGATATAACTGTTGTATTGATGTACAAAAACTTGAAATGTTCCCAAAAAATGGCACTACATGCTGTAGTTGGTGGTTTGTTCTAGAACACTCTTCTGAACTGATTCTTTGATAGTACATGTGGTACTATATAAACAAGATTCGATATAAGATATAAACCAAAAATCAACTCTAAAATTACTTACAGCTTAAACATAAATGAAAGTTAACTTAATCTGATGTCAGAAGTTCAAAAATGGTTAAAAAAAAAAAAATCTCATTGTCCCACCTGACATTTGGCAATAAAATAACAAAACATTTCCACCACACGCCCAAAGCATGCTCTCCTTTAATTAATGGGAGGGTCCAGAGATTACCAAACCAATCACAACTTTTCCTGAAAGTAAAATTAATGACTGAGTTATATAGCAAAACTAAGTTTATTCTTACTGTTTTAAAGAAAAGCAACAACATGGCATGGTATACATTTTCACTGCTATGCACCCAACTCTATCTATCCATGAAGCCAAGCCAGATGACACACACCAATTAGTTAAACTGCAAGAATGTCCTAAAGACATGGAGCTGGATGGCTTCTAACTTTCTAGCAGGAAGAGGAGAGCTGGACACTCTGCGCTCCCTAACAAGAAGAGGGGCTGCCTCCTTCAGACTGACACGCACATGCATACGCACCAACATTCCTGTCTATGAACAGACGTATTCACTGTTGTATTACTTTTGTATATAAATAGAGACAAGTGCAAGAAGAGAGCGCACATCACAGGGCCCCACTCTCATGTGAGCACTCTGTGACCGCCCTTGCAAGTAAAAGCTGCAGTGTGTGTTTCTACCCTCTGACTCTTAGCTGAAGAAGTGTCTTTTAGAATAAATCTCTTGACATTATGTGAAGTCACTTAGAAGTTATTTAAGTGACTTATTTATCACGTTTAAAATTGTAGCGAAAGATAGCGCAGGGTTGGAAAACTGACAACTAGCCAGTGTTCTCGCCGGCTCCCGGCTAGCTATCGAGCGGGTGGGTAACAGATGTCTCTGAAAACGTCGGCGCACTTTTGCAATTATGTGATGTCTTGATAAACAGAGTATATATTTGAAGTTTACACAGATACATTCTTGCCTGAAAATATGTTAAGTTTATATTGTGACACTGAGTAATATTAACTAACCTTTTAATGTTAAAAATGAGCAGAACTGTACGTCTACGTGACCTATGTACATGTCATAAGTTTAACGACTGTAAAAATTAACATCAACGTCTTAACATTTGTGTCACTACTTCAAAAACAACTTACATTTAAAAATGTAGTTGTCCTTGACCGCTGTGTCTAGCACCTCCATAGCTGCCGCCATTGCTGGAAACTGGAATCGGCAGAGCCGCGCTATGAATTCTGGGATATGGTGGGCTACAAAGGATACACACGACCCACCCTTCAAATTGAAATGACGGACTCATTTTTCGCCACATTTGAAGGAGTCGATGAATTGTGACAGCCTTCGTCACCTGGCTATGGTACTGCTGGAGGTTTCTTCCTGTTAACAGGGAGCTTTTCCTTCCCACTGTCGCCAAAGTGCTTGCTCAGGGGGTCATATGATTGTTGGGATTTTCTCTGTATGTATTTTTGTAGGGTCTACAACATAAAGTGCCGTGAGGCAACTGTTGTTATGATTTGACACTGTGTAAATTGATTTGAAAAGCAGTGCCTCTAGAGCCTGAAAAGGATGCTCGCTATAAAGACGAATACACCACATGTGTAAACAACATGCTGGAAGGATGTGCTGAATTTGTGTCTGCAGATCATAAGAGTTCTCATCCAATTTAGACAAGAGCCTGTTGCACTAATGGCTGACCGATGCCATGCTTCACCAAGTTTACATATTAGAGAAACATGTCAAGTGTCTCTTTCCTGTGGTGGCAACATGGTGACACTACAAGGCCTGCACAAGAGTATAGGATGAAAGTGCTGCTTTTTTTTTTTTTTCTTGGAGGAGGAGTATCTTAACCAAAGTGTCCAAATTATGCTCTGCAGAGAACTGCAAATGATAATGCACAACAGTTTCCAGCTGAAGTGGTGAATAGAGTCAAAAATAAGTTTTATGTTTATAATCTATTGCTTCATAAGAATAAAAAGTACATATGGTGGAGAGCCTGACTGATATTTGTACTAATGGATCAGTAATAGTCGCACAGTGCTCATGTCAATCCCACAGGAAAGGAGAGCAAAGAAAATCAAGGATCTGGATTTGGACACAGATCAACTTCCAAGTGAGAGAGTAGTGGGTTTAGAGTGGTGCATAGAAACAGATGAGTTCACCTTTGTGCAGGACAATCCACCAACCAGAAGGCGCATTTAGTCTGTGGTCAGCTCATTGTATGGACCTTTGTCTCCCTACATCATCTGGAAGATCTCCAGCTGATTTAAAAGTGAAACGCTGCATTAAACTGAGTTTCTATGGAAGACCAGATAAGGCACAACTTCATCATTCTTCTGATGCAAGTCAAGATAGTTATGGAATAGTGTCATATTTAAAACTGAAAAAGAATAACATCACACGTTGACTTTATCCTGGGAAAAGCTAGGGTTGCTCCCCTTAAGAAAACTACAATTCCCAGGCTGGAATTCACTGCTGCAGCTCTTGCAGTTCCAGTGAACATGCTTCTGCAGAGAGAGTTGCAGATAAGGTTGGACAAATCATTTTTCTGGACTAATATAATACAATGCATCTCCAATGAAAACCGAACATTTAGTATCTTTGCTGCAAACAGAATTTCTGTCATTCGAGAAGCAACAGATGTGAATCAGTGGAGAGATGTTTCCTGCAAGGAGAACCTTGCAGAGACGACCCATCCATAAGTATGAAAGGTTTCCTCAAATGTGGGGATGGTTAAATGGTCCAGAATTTCCCTACAAGAAGAGGAGGAATGGCCTAAACTGGATATGGATCACAGTGTGATTCCTGCAGATGACCCAGGGATCAAAAAGGACCTGACGGACTACCTTTTCAGTCAGCTGTCTTAAATAATTATGGGCTATCATTGACCAGTTTTAGGTTAATTATGGAGTTCCACGCTGGTGAGCATGTTTTTGTTTTTTTGCTTCAGACCACGCAGTATTTTAAACAGCAGATTAAAATGCTGATTTCTGAATTTTCACACTGCTCTGTCCTCAAGGGGGCAGCAAACCGTCACATACGAGTCAGATTATGTTCTTATGGTTTAGGACAGAAAGTCCTGCTTTCTTCCTGTTTGTGTTCACACTGAAAAATTAAGCCTGTTAAAGTCCTGATGTGCTTTGAGACGTCAGGACTGTTTTAAAGCTTCACGTGTAATAGTCAGCAGAGGTGTGACCACACTTCATACTTGCCTCATATCACTGAATCTTCCTCTTCCTGCCGTCTTTCACAGCTGCTCGGATCAGAAACCCTCCAAAGTATCATCAGCGCTCCTGTTTCTGTAAGTCTGAAACACATTCCCACCTTCTGCTCACAGCTCTAACTGACTTGACGACAGCATATTCTAGTTAGTAGTAGTAGTAGTGGTAGTAGTTGTTACTAGTTAGTAGTATCAGTGTTTGGGTTTTACAGGGCCAGTGCTGTGTGAACAAACAGAGGGACTTCTGGGTTATTTTCTGCCACAGTCATACATGAACGACCACCGACTCGTGTACCACTTTTTATCTGATTTATCTGCTTTTATGGGGAATTAAACACACTTCCTGAGATTTACTGTAAAGAAATATGAGAATAAACAGGAAATTTCACAAGTCCAGAAAGTTCCCTTCAGCTGTAACCTCAGAGCAGCACAGTGAAAGGGAGAAGTCCTCTGTTCTATTTATCGGTGTATATATACTCAATAAATTGATCATATATACACTTAGAACCGTTTATATTTAAAGGTGATTACATTATTATTGATGCTGTATTCATGGTGACATGATTAGCTTACAGTGAGCAACAGTAGATTTAAAAGGTCTAGAACACCCTGTTGGTTTTTTCATATTGTATTTTTCAACCATGAAGTTGTTTCAGATTAAAATCTATTATTCAACAGAGAATTGGCGAATCTGAGTTAGATTGATGCTATTGAACTATTCTACAGACTGTGCTAATATACTGTGTTTGTTACTGTAAGGTTTATTTTACTGAGGGAACTGTTGCTGTAAATTGGGGCAATATAAATAAAGTTGAATTGAATAAAGCCAAGCTAACTTTATTTATAAAGCAAAACAGTCACGGTCCTGGGTCAGTGACTAAGTGTATTGTTATTGTAATTTGTTATCTGTAGTGTTTAATATAAGTTTAGTTCTGTGCCTCTGAGATTTGTCTATGGATTTCCTGTTTTTACTTTTAAACTCTGTGTCTTCTGTTGGTGTATTCTGTTTTCCGCACCTGGTCTCAATTTGCCCAATTGGTTCCAGCTGTTATTTCACCTGTTCCTCGTTCTCCCCCGTTCCCAGTAGCAGTTTTAGATACGGGCGACACGGGCGGTTGCCCGGGTGGCATCGTGGTGCGGGGCAGCATCACGGACATCGGCAAAAAAAAAAAATGCTCTAACTCATGCTGCCCCGACGTCACCAAGCACATATTGGAAATGGCATAGGCACCGATCGGTTTTCTATCGCCCATTTGCTGGGAGTAAGGGCGCCCTCCGTTTGCGAGGTGCGCCCAGGGAGGAGAGGAGAGGGCGGCGGGGGATTTTCTGACCAGCTGGATCGACATCTAATAACCAACTTGCAAAATAAAAACAAACCAACAAACACGGAAACACCAGACATCATGATACAGACTTATAATTTGCACCGATGTTTTTCGAAATTCTATAAGCGAAAAGTGAGCGCGAGAGCCCTCGGTGCGCCTGCGCGCTGCTGAAGTCAAAGTAAACTTTATTGTCATCTCCGCTACATACAGCCCAGTATATAGAGAGAGGAGACGACGAGGCTGCAGTTACAGCAGTGCAAGTAAACAAACAATATATATAAGAATAGTAAGAAAATAAATATACACCTTATGACCAGGGGTAAAGGGATCAATAACAATTTCAAATTTACAGTTTGATGATTTAAAAGGTGGCACGGTGGTTAGCACTGTTGCCGCACAGCAAGAAGGTCCTGAGTTCAATTCCACCATCACGCCGGGGTCTTTCTGTGTGGAGTTTGCATGTTCTCCCCGTGTTTGCGTGGGTTCTCTCCGGGTACTCCGGCTTCCTCCCAAAGTCCAAAGACATGCAGCTTATGGGGATAGGTTAATTGGATAATCCAAATTGTCACTAGGTATGAATGTGAGTGCGAATGGTTGTCTGTCCCTGTGTGTTGGCCCTGCGACAGACTGGCGACCTGTCCAGGGTGTACCCTGCCTCTCGCCCTATGACAGCTGGGATAGGCTCCAGTGCGCCCCGCGACCCTGAAAAGGATAAGCGGAAGCGAATGGATGGATGATTTAAAGTCTCACACACAACCCGTCGAAAGGGGAGGGGCCTGCTGCTTCCAAATACAGCACATTTCATTCATAATGTTGTAAATCCAAGCCCATTATGTATTTATGATTTGAATCCTGGGTTGTGTGAAACCTCAGAAATAAACCCTAGACAAAGTGAATCTGTGAACTAAGGTGTAGGTGTGTTAGATTATGTTGTGGTGATCCTCGGGTTGAGGGATGGGTGTTCATACTGGAGTGTAAAATTAAAAGCAATGGAAGATGGACAAGAAAAGTTCAAAGCCATCAGGTGCTCAGTTTAGAAAAAAGAGAAAAGAAGAGGAAGAGAAACAAGCAAAAGATGCAGTGTGATTGGATGATGGCAGGTCATCCTGAAACAATCAGAATCAGAATACTTTAGGGAGTGTTTGCCCAGGGCACCAAACAGGCTGGGACCGCCACTGCCCATTCCTGTCTGTGTATTTATAGTGTGTGTCCTTTGGTGCTTGTTGCCGCATCATACCATCATTTCTGCCTGTTTGTTCTGTTCTTATGTTATTTCAGTTTTGTATTTCGGCCAGCAATAAAGCTGTGGTTCTGTTAAGTTCACTTTTGCCTCCATAAGTCCTGCACTTGGGTTCTCTTCCAGCCTGCCTGCACACAAACTATGACAGAAAACATATAGATATTAAAAACATAAATACAGTACCAGTGAACAATACAGAACACCAACATCAAGAATTAAGTATTGTACTTAGCTCAACATAACTGTGGCTCCACTGGGCCATGCAACAATAGTCATTGTTATTATAATCGTTAACATCACTCTATTACAACTAGATATTATGTCAATTACAGAGTTATAATTTTAACATTTTAAGTATTAGTTTTTTACTAATAATAGAAGGGCGGAAAAGTCAGATCTGTCTGGCTGTTCCGTACTTGCTTAACTTAACAGCTAATCTATCTTCATTCAGCTGTGATGATGTCGGAGGACCTTCTAAACACTCTGGAAGATCTGGGAGATGAAGAGTTTAATAAATTCAAGTGGTTCCTACAGCAGACCGACGTCATTCAAGGCCCCATGACCATCAAGAAGAGCCGACTGGAGACAACAAGCAGGTGGGACACCGTGGACTTGATGGTGCAGACCTACAGACTTTCTGGAGCTGTTGAGGTGACCAGAAGGGTTTTAAAGAGGATCGGCAGGAATGACCTGCTGCTCAGTTTGTCTGTTATCAGGCCCAGACCCGAAGGTGAGTCACAGCAAGGGGCAAACAGGAAGTCAGTCTGAGAAAGTTACATAGTGCTTTAACACTTTCAACATCTGTTTGTCAGTGAATGTCAGTGATTTGACCTCTCAGGCTCCTCTTCCTCAGACTGAAGGTAAGTCACTGCTTAGTTTTCCATACATTCCAGGCTTCTTTACTCCAAATATCTCAATGTGAAGTAACTGTGAGCATGACATTGAACTGTCACCTGGTTTTACCCATAATTCTTGGTTGTTTTATAGTCACTTATAATGTTGAACTCTACTGTAAAGGAACTTATACAAAATTCCTGTGTTAGCCCTTTGAGGTGCACAGCTCTAGACCTGGTATCCTCCAAGTTTACTTCAAAATGTTTTTTTTCAGTGTTCCTATTATCCTTATAATTATTTAGGTTACTACAGTATACTATTACAGCCTCAGTTAGTTCAGTTCTTTAACGATAGCTTCCTGTGATCTCCATCACATTCTTGAAAATATCCTGGCAGACACAGCAAACCTGTCTACATGTACTGATATGCGACAGGCCGGATTCCCTGTGCATCCTGAATGGACTGCAGTTACCATCTCATGCTAGCAATGGCAAGGAACAGCAAAAACCAAAACTATTAAAAGATCAGAGAGGGAGGATATGCTCTATGGCCATCACATGCTAAATCGGGGGTGTTGAACTCCAGGCCTCAAGGGCCAGTGTCCTGCAGGTTTTAGATAACACCCTGGGTCAATCAAATGATTAATTCATCAGTAGGCCTTTGGAGAACTTCAAGCTAATTAAATCAGCTGTGTTGAATCAAGGATACATCCAACACCTGCAGGACACCAGCCCTCGAGGTCTGGAGTGCCATACGCCTGTGCTAAATGCTTCCCATTTTCAGGAGTTGTCCTTTTCTTTCTCCAGTTCACCAAGCAGCTGATAATGACAATGGCTCGCTAGACATTGTGATCCCTCAAGTTCATGATGATCAAGCGAGATTCCTACCATTCACATTTACTCATTTGAGTTCAAAAGATGCAGACCGCTAATAGACGTGCATAAAATCACTCCAGAAAAAATGGTCAGCTGCAGATAGCCAATACATGTCCAGTCGTATAGTCGTAGTGTGGCATTTTAGAGAATGACATGACAGCAATATGAGTTACACACAATATGTTTATCACCCTGTTTGACACAGATGTGATGGTTCCAGTACCAGAGCCTCAACCCATCACGCATTACCAACAGATGCTTCGATCAAACTTCCAGGACAAGTTTATGTGTACACAAGAAGGGTGGGCAGAAGATAAACAGCGTCTGGCTGATATCTACACAGAACTATACATCACAGCTGGGTATGACATACATATCAACATACAGCATGAGGTCCGGCAGATTGAAAAGGCATGGAAGCCGGAAGAAACGGAGAAAGCCGTTAAACCCACAGACATATTCAAACATCCTTCTGGAGAATACAGACCCATTAAAACAGTGATGACCAATGGAATCGCAGGAATTGGAAAAACATTCCTTGTTCACAAGTTTGTGTTGGACTGGGCTGAACAAAGATACAATCAAGATGTGCATCTGGTTTTCCCCTTCACCTTCCGTCAGCTGAATCCACTGAAGGGAAAAAAATTCAGTTTGGCAGAGCTCATTCATGAATGTATCCCAGAAACTGTAGGCATCACAGAGGAGGCTCTTAATTACATCTTTAAAGATATTCAGTCATCGGGAATTACCAACTATGACAAAAGTAAATTCAAACTTCTGTTTGTGCTTGATGGGCTGGATGAGAACCGCCTTCATCTCGACCTTCAGTCTGAAGATATTCGCTCTGTCGATGTAACAAAGTCAACTAAAACAGATGTCTTGTTGAAAAAACTCATCAATGGAAAATTGCTACGCTCTGCTCGCATCTGGATAACCACACGGCCTGCAGCAGCCAATCAGATCCCTCGAGAGTTTATCAGCAGTACAACAGAGGTCAGAGGGTTCACTGACCCACAGAAAGATGAGTACTTCAGGAAGAGATTCAAAGGTAAGGAGCAAGCTGACAAAATCATCTCCCACATCAAGACAACAGGAAGCCTCCACATCATGTGCCATATCCCAGTCTTCTGCTGGATCACTGCTACAGTTCTAGAAGATGTGCTGAAAACAAGAGAAGGACAGCTGCCCAAGACCCTGACTGAGATGTACGCAGAGTTCCTGGTGTTTCAGATTGATCGGACAAAAGAAAAGTATGGCCCACAGAAAAGCATTGAATACATTAAGTCATTAGCAAAACTGGCCTTTCAGCAACTGGACAAGGGCAACCTGATCTTCTATGAAAAAGATCTGAGAGAGAGCAGCACTGATGTTAGTGAAGCCTCGGTATGCTCAGGAGTGTTCACAGAGATCTTCAAAGAAGAGCGAGGAAGGAAAGGGAAAGGCGAGATGTTCAGCTTTGTCCATCTGAGTGTTCAGGAGTTTCTGGCTGCTCTTTATGTAAGGATGTCACTTACTAACAGCAAAATAAATGTCATGCCTTTACCACAACCATCACTGAAAAACCTTCGACTGCTTTTAAGGAAGACATCTTCAAAGAAGATCCACATGATTTCCATTGACAGGGCCTTGCAGAGTCCAAATGGACACCTGGACTTATTCCTTCGCTTCCTCCTGGGTCTATCACTGCAGACCAATCAGGATAAACTGCAGGACCTGCTAATGAAGAAAGACAGTGGCACAGAGACCAATCAGAAAACAGTCCGATACATCAAAAAGAAGCTCAGTGAGAATCTGTCTCCAGACAGATGCATCAATCTGTTCCACTGTCTGAATGAGCTAAATGATCGTTCTCTGGTGGAGGAGATCCAGCAGTCCCTGAGTTCAGGAAGCCTCTCCACAGATAAACTGTCTCCTGCTCAGTGGTCAGCTCTGGTCTTCATCTTACTGTCATCAGAAAAAGATCTGGATGTGTTTGACCTGAAGAAATACTCTGCTTCAGAGGAGGCTCTTCTGAGGCTGTTGCCAGTTGTAAAAGCCTCCCACAGAGCTCTGTGAGTGCACGAATAACTGTGACACAGGGCTGTTATCAACTAGTAATTCTCAGTCAGCAGATCTTCATATAACTACATGCTAACATTAATTATGGCTTTAGATTTAGTATAAAGCTTACTTTAAGTTTAATATTTGAATTATAGCTGAGATTATCCTGTGAAAAAGCACCATAAAACCACTACTCAACTACAATCTTTTTTTCCTCATGAAAACTTTAACTGAAATAACCTAACAGCGTTTTACACTGTCTATCATAGAATCAGTTTCACTGTGTGTCTTTATCTGTTCTCCAGGCTAAGTGGCTGCAATCTGTCAGAAAGAAGTTGTGGAGCTATGTTATCAGTCATCAGCTCACGGTCGACTAATCTAAGAGAACTGGACCTGAGTAACAATGACCTGTGGGATTCTGGAGTGAAGCTGCTGTCTGTGGGATTGGAGAGTCTACACTGTACACTGGAGGCTCTGAGGTTAGGGTTCGGCTTATCTTTAGTGGATGACCAGCAGATGACTTTCTTGATATGTAGCTTTATATACAAATTAATTAACTACTTAAGCGGTATTTGATGATGCAGTCATAATAAGCCCTCTTTTATTTGTGTATTTAGATAAATGGCATATAAAATTCATAGCCACATTGATGTCAATCATTGGTTTGTGATGCAGAATTATGAACCTCTGCGGTTTGCATTTTGGGCATGCCAACAAGGCACATTCATACAATGTATAGATGCAAGGTACAAATACAGATACCCACTAATTATTGCAAATATGTTAAATAACATTTTCATTTTACTACCAAAAAAGTAATGTGCCTTTATTGTCATTGATGTAGAACTTACAATTAAATCAGGAAATTTGCTCCACTGTCAGGTGCATTAAAAAGTCACAATCGCACACATTCACACAAGATGACTAAAATATATGTATATAGAAGGGCGTAGATTTGGCATGGATGAAAGGGACATGTCCCCACCAATAATTTGATCTCTTCAAGTGAAGAAAAACAAACCCGATAGAAAGAGGGGGGAAAAAAAGATCTGTCAACGTCTCATTCACCCAGTGGTGCAGAAAGTTCTCTGCTCGAGTCCTACGTCATGTGACAATTATGGCAAATGTGATTGGCTATGGCTTTCGGGGAGCTCTGTTTAGTTTTAGCAGCGGCAAGCCTGCGCTGCGAGGACCTGAAAGGAGGAGAGAAGGATGACAGCAAGAAGGAAGAACCTGGATATAAGAAAGTATTTTGCAAAGAAACCTGTGAGTCACTTAAAGCCAAGTTAACACATAAAATGTGTCCGTCATAATAACGTTACAGGCTATGCTAGGCTTTGGCCCACATCAGTCTAAATTTGTATGTAACCATGAATAACGTGTTTTGTAAACTGCACAGCAGGCAGCACTGTTAGTTCTCTCAGTCTCAGAGCAGCATTTCTAAGTTTGATTGAAACTGTCAGAGAAAACTGCAGCCTCGAGCAGCCAGGATATTAGTTTACAGAGGCTGTTAGAATTATATGTCTAACATTAAAATGTTGGTGACACAATAATTTCATCCTAATGGTACTGACATATTCATAGGGTTAATTTTTGAGACAAACTATCATGAGGTAGTCATGATTTTGCAAATATTCCACCTTGTAGTGCAGTTTGCACAAATTGTTTTAAAAATGCACTCAGCCTACAAACATTACTGACGAGTCAAGATCTGCACAAAGTGACAGAAACACTGAAGCAGCTACACGTTTTATTCTTATTGTCATGTTTGTCCTATTTGTCAGGTGACAGAAGAACCAACACAAAGCTCAGAGAGTAATGGTGACACAAGATCACAGGTGAAACTGGATGATGACCTGGTGGTTCATGACTGTATTTGAAGCACATGTGTGACTGCATGTATGTGGAGTGTCTCACTGTTATTCATCAGGTGACAGAGGCAGCTCTGCCATGTTGTAGCTCAGACAGAGGTGAAGAGGCGGGGTCACAGGTGACTGATGATGTGGTGCTATAGATTAACGAGAGGAGCAGGCCTGTGTTTGGCCCCTTCACATAGTGGACATTGAGTTGTTGTGTGGGGCACCAGTAGTGCATGTGTGTTGCTGTAACAGTAGTTCATGTTTAGAATAAACAATCCCAGCTCACTGAACTGATCGGGTCAATAGTGCCTAAAATGTTGCATAATGTTGCTGAGAGATCTTTTACTTTGTGTTAATCTTAGACGAGTAGTTTTATGTAGAAAAGCCACCAGGTCATTCAGTGTTCCCTTAGTGCTGATGTATCAGAGATGTTGGTGTAACTGAAGTAATGTTGTTAAGTCCTTAAAGTCATATTCTTTTATTGTCATGACTGTATTTGAAGCTATTTTTATTTTTGTATGATACCTGATTTATATGGAATATGGCTGAAGTAAACTAAAGCCTAAAATACTTTAGTCAGTCATTTGTTTAATAGTAATTTAACATTATATAATTCACATATAAACCTATGAATTGTAATTTTAAATGGTTTAAAAGCATGTAGAATAGCATATGTAGACAAGTATATTTCTCCTTTCTTTTAATCAAGAAGCAAAGACAAAAGGAAAAGAATAAGAAACAGGGCAGGGTTTGGTGGTGGAATCATCCGTCCCCACCAATGCCAAAACCAAATCTACGCCCTTGTGTGTATATAACTAACCATATAAAATGAGAACCTGTTAAACAGAATTGTATAAAGTGCACTGTAATGTCAAGGTTGTCAAAAAGGACTTAGTGGGTCAGTGACTGTTGATAGCAACAGGAAGTGTTTACGGCCAAAGTGTGAGGAGCCTTTTGTGATATGCCCGGCTCTGGTGAGGTAGTGGGATGTGACAATATTCAGTGCTATTTGTTTTTTCATTCAACTTTAGTGCCAAATCACAACAATAGTTGACTCAAGGCACTTCATATTGTAAGGTAAAGACTTAACATAATAGATTGAAGATAGGACAAAGACATGCTGTGGAAGAGAGCCAGAGATTAATAATACCGAAAGATTATACACATAGTACGCTGGACTTCAACATGGAAACCAAAACAAACAGAAAAACGGCTAAACTGGAGTACACACAAGCCATAGCACTAACACACATCACCATAAAAAAGGCATGATCACGGACTTTAGGTAAACACATTTAAAGTGCTACAAAAAGCACAAGTATGTTAGCTGAGTCACAACTAAGCAAATGGCTAGCAACAGGGATGTCCTCGATCAAACTTTAAATCTTAGCTCAGTCTTAGTCCCTTCTCCTGTCCCTTTACACCTGAAACAAAGGGGAAAGCTGTTTCTAGAGAGCAATGCTAATTTGTACGATGCTGGAAACATGCCGTTGCTACACTTTTCAACCCTGAAACAAATCACGCAAACAGTGAATCTACACTGTAATAGAAGCATGTTGTATTTACAGTGCTCTCAAATCCAGCTTCAAGTATTATAGATCTGTGGGATTCAATACATCTTCTGGAGACAATGGTTCAGTAAAGAATCCATGTGCCATAGAGTGAATCAGTATCTCTGAAAAAATAAAAGCATATTCTTTTGGAACCAAGCTTAAAGATATATATCAAAATAAAATTATATACATAATTCTCTTTGCTTTATGTTTTACATCTTTGTGTTTGCCCTCAGGCTCTCGGGCTGTCTGATCACTCAGGATGGTTGTACTTCTCTGGTATTAGCTCTGAACTCCAACCCCTCCCATTTGAGAGAGCTAGACCTGAGCTACAATCATCCAGGGGACTCAGGCATGAAGCTGCTGTCTAGCTTACTGGATGATCCACGCTGGAGACTGAACACTCTTAGGTATGATAGTTTCAGTATTAATGCTCGTCATCAATTAATCACATTGTTACATGTAATATATTAGTTTATTACATGCTTATTTTAAAAGTGCTGCTGTATGAGAAGTGTAATATTCAGTTTTAAAGCTTTTAAACAAATAGCGTGCTTTTTAACAGCAGTATTCTCTTAACACAGTAGCAGTTACAATATTTGTTGTGGGTAAATCTCACCTGAAACATTAATCTGATCATCAATCAATCCGACTTCAGGGAGGAGTATTTATCTGACAAAAATGCTCCAATCTAAACCATCAACAACAAAATAGCAATTCACCTTGTTTGTTAGATGGGTCACATGTTCTCCTGGTTCTTTGTACTTTCCTCACCTGCCCTGTGGACATTCCTCTCTGCTGTCTCAGAAGATCAGCCCTCCTATCCAGTGAGATCACCTGAAAAATTCCTGCGTTTTCTTCTGCCAACTCAAACAGCCCCCCTGCCCTCTGAACCACTTGACTCTGAGCCTGTTTGAAATAAAAAGCTGTGAATCTTTTTTCCAATCTCCTGCACTTCAGTCCAGTTTCTCGGTGAACCGTGAAACCTCAGCCTCCCCCTTCATCATTCCAACTTTTCATTTACTCCGTGCTGTTCTGGTGTCAGTGGAAGGTGGAGACTGGGACAGTACACCTGTTAAAGTGTAACATCGGCGTGCTAACACAAGCTCAGGACAGACAGAGAGCTCCCATAGAGCAGAGGCCAGGAGCTCATTGATCTTGATTTTCCATGATGTTAGAGGATCAGAAACATGTATTGATATTCTGGATGTTTCATATATTTTGATACCACTAACCAGTTTCCATGTTCCTGTCTCAGCGTCTCTGTTGGATCCAGGGTTACCCATGGCTGTTGGTACCACACAGCAGAATTGCAATTTGAAAGTCTTTTAAATGAGTAGAAGCATTTTAAGGCCTTTCATGTACTTCTTTTATGTCCATGTGTCTCTTTGTCTCTGCGTTAAAGATGAATTCAAATATGTTTCTTCTTCCAGGCTGGACCACGGTGGAGAGCAGAGGCTGAAACCTGGTCTGAGGAAATGTGAGTGTGTGCTCACTTTGATGTATGAAAATAAGACAGCACGCATTACACTAGTTTAAATCACACTAAAGATTCTAGAGGATGAGTCACTGTGAAGCTGTCGTCTCCATCAGTCTGTGGAGAAGGCAGCAGATGAAGTCTTGTTGTTTCTTCTTCTCTCCATCAGATTCCCGTGATCTTAAACTGGACACAAACTCGGTGCACAGAAAACTTAAACTGTCCGACAACAACAGAAGAGTGACGGCAGTAACAGAGGAGCAGCCTTATCCTGATCACCCAGAGAGGTTTGAGTACTGGCTTCAGCTGCTGTGTACAAATGGTCTGACTGGTCGCTGTTACTGGGAGGTGGAGTGGAGCGGAGAGGTTCACGTTTCAGTGACTTACAGAGGAGTCACGGGGAGAGGAGGCAGCAATGACGGCAGGTTTGGAGCAAACAGTCAGTCGTGGAGTTTGAGGTGCTCCGATGCTGATCAGTACTCTGTGTGTCACAATAACAGCAGAACAGACCTCTCCTCCTCCTCCTCCTCCTCCTCCTCCTCCTCCTCCTCTGTCTCTAACAGAGCAGCAGTGTATGTGGACTGTCCTGCTGGCACTCTGTCCTTCTACAGAGTCTCCTCTGACACTCTGATCCACCTCCACACCTTCAACACCACATTCACTGAACCTCTTTATCCTGGGTTCTGGTTATTGTCATACGGTTCTTCAGTGTCTCTTTGCTCTCTGTAGCGGGGGAAGCCTCCACAGCACCGCTCCAGCTCAGGGTGGTACTCAACAATCAGTAAACCTGATGGGTGTGGGTCATTTGACCCAGGACTCTGACTTTCTTTTGTTTTGGTGATTGTTATGTATAATGGTTTTAGGTTCATTAGTTAGTCTTGAGGTGATTCTGAGTTCGTTGTGTTCCCTGTTTACTGTTTTGTGTGTTAGGTTCCTGTGAGGTGTTGGTCTCTCCTGTGTTTCCAGTTTGTCTGTTGTGTCATCTGTTGTAAGAGCCAATTAAAGGCTGGTTTCTTGGTACTGGTAAAATGAGAAATATACATTTTTATTGTTGAATATATAATTTCCAAATACCGCTATGGTAAAAACATAAGATATGGAAATGTGAAGTTCTGATGTGCTTTTTGGTATGTGGTAATTACATGTGGGGAGTCAGATAGGCATAAAGTCTCATTAAAGATCTTTGTTGAAAGGACAGTCCCATGGTCTTGCTTGTGCTTCCAAAGCTTGTTGCTGGACTAAGTCCTGAAGCTGGTGAAACGGAGACAAGTGCCGCTGTTACATCTGTGTCTCTCACTTCCTTGTTCCCTGGGTCCCAGCCATGCCTTTGTGTTTGGTCTCCCCTTGTTGCTTACATGTCCCCTCACTCCATGAAACACATGTGTATCAAGTATGTTCTCCCCAGCCCGTCATGTCCCTCTTAACATGTCTCTCTGTGTCTCTCCCATGACTGTTTCCATGTTTCCAATCATTCACACTCACGCTTACAGCCAATATAGAACCTAGGCTGGATTCAAACCTTCTTGCTAAGAGGCAGCAGGGCTAAACTCCTGCATATTTTATTACATCATTTCAAAGATGTGGATTTTAGTGGTCCGCAGAGGTGGGAAGTAACAAAGTGCAAACACTTTCTTACTGTATTTAAGTAGAATTTTCAGGTACCTGACTAATTCTTTCTCCCTTATTTTAAGCACTTTAAGTGTACTTTCTACTTACATTTTCAAAACAGGCTCCTTACGTTTGCTCTAATACATTTGGGTTGTTTCACGTCACTGCGAGCCTCTAAACATCAAAAGGATCTGAGCCTAAACAGGAAAACCCGTTTGCTTATCAATCAGACGATGTCACATAAAATGATCCTGTTGCGTACGGACAAATCAGAACCAATCAGAACCAGCTAGCTCCATGTCACATGCAGGAGGATAACTTGCAGTGATAATAATAATGATAATAAAGTGTAATAAGGTCTTTTTTTCCTATTTGTAAAAGGAGAGAGTATAATTTTAGTTGTTGCTGTATGAAACAATAAAGATTACTCTATTCTACTCTATTGTGGGCTAACGGTGAGCCAGACAGACAATACTGGATTATATGTGAGATCAGATGTTCACTGCTCACCAGAGTGGAGGATTTTCACCACTATTACCACTCGTGATCTTTGAGGTGTGTTTTGCTACGTGTGAGCTGCTTCAGTGTGATTATCTTTTGTTTTGTTTCCACTTTATGAAAACGAATCCACCACAGAGTCCTCTACAGTCTAAATCAGCCCCACCTTTCCTCCACCCCGCATACCTGGAACTCCTGCCCGGGCACATTCCACCACACACGCGTGATCCCCGGGAACTCCCCTGAAACCGAAAGTAAACCACGTCACAGTGGTCGTGGCGTGACGAAGCACCGCTATGAGAGCTGTCGGTGTTTTGCTGTGCTTTTCTGTGTTTGCGGGAGTCTGCATGGAGGATAAGGAAGCCCCACGGTAAGAAACCCACTCTTATCCTCTTTGTGCGCGCGCGAGAAGACCGGCGTAACTAAAAAGTTCAAAGGTGAGAAAGCCGACAGGAAAACGCTCTAGCTAACCGGCCCACGGCAGCACACACAGCCGCCCACAGACTGGCCTGTCGTGTCTGTGTGTGCAGGAGCCTCGTGACACACAGAGTGGGTACAGACCGCGGTGCAGTGATTTGTGCCGTCCGCAGCTCCCCGTGCGGCCTTCACGCCGCGGATACAATCAGCTCCCCGTGACACACGCGAAAACCCGAAACACAGACACGTCTCTGAGCCCACGAGACATCCCTGACGGAGGAGGCGTCATTGATGGATGAATGTAGCAGGGAGTTAGCAATGCTAGCAGCTTGTGCGGTTTGGCTGTTTCTAATAAAGGTTTTACAAACGGTTGCTGTGGCTTCAGTAGTGACGTGAGGCTGTGATGAGCTTACGAGTCCTGGTGAGACAGGTTGTTCGTGTTTGTGGCATGTGTGGCATGTGTGGGTAAGGGGGAGGGGCGTCAGGTGATAACAGATGTTTCTGCTGTACGTCCCTGCTCGTGATGATACCAGCTCTGAGGTATCAGACTATTGAAAGTACACTTTGTTAGACACAGCGGTGTGTCTTTGTGTCTTTGTGTTGTGAGTTTGTCCTGAATTGATGATGACTGGAGCTCCGCCTTTGTGCTGTTTAGGTCATTCCAGTGTCTCCGGCTCGATGTTTCCTGTCTCTTTGTCCTCAGCGTCTCCTGTGGAGGTCCGTCCACTCTCTGTCCCCATGTGTCCCCTCTCGCTCTGCGCTTCGTCTCTGTGGTTGTTCGCCTTGTCCAGTGTCAGGTTTATATGGCTGAAGTCTCTGTCTCTGAGCTGTGTTTCCTGTTTTATTTTGAAAGTCCCTGGTGTCTTCCCTCTGTGCTGTGTGCTCTCTGGTCCTAGCCACAGTACTTCTTACTTTGTATTCGCTTCCTAAATTTCTCAGTTTGTTAGTTTTGTGTCCAGAGTCCTGGTGTGCTCACAGCCGGCTCAGGACAGCCAGTTCTTCCCAGGAGAGGCAAAGGGACCCAGCAGCCTATTAAAGCCCCTCTGCTGCAATGGGCTGTCATAAAGGTATAATGTGTGGTTAATACTGCAGTCTGCTGTTACACGTGTTACCCTTTCAAATCTGCTGTATGTAAAGTACCGGCACCCCTCAGCTTCCCAGTAGATGCATCTATCGTACAAATGGGAAAATCCTAAGGTGACCTCTGACCTTGGGATGGTCAATGATGGTCCCTGATATTCAAACTGATCCAAGATGAAGCTGCACCATGGTATCAGTTTGGGATCCTACGACTGGACCGTCAGTCTTTTATGGCTGATGAGTAAAAAGGGTGCACTAAGACGAAGCTCCTACACTTTCTTCAGCTGGCTTGACTTGTTTGAAGTCCCATAACTGTGGGTCAGTTTCAAACATCTGTCAGGGTTTCTCTCCGCCTGGTGCTTTTTAAGGCAGAGAAGCAGCAGCATGAGGACTGGGCTCGGGCTTTGTAAGCTCCCGGGTTGTTTTTTTATTTGGCTGTAGTTATTCAGCCGGCCAGACGAACCCTTGAATAGAAACGGCTTTGAAACTTGGTGAACATGAAGTCATTGATATTAGAGATGAACAGTATTTAAGACCTTGTGCAATAAAAGAAGAAAGAACTGTTTTCCAGCTTAAAACCAGAGTGTGGGTGACGGTTGGTGGATCCCTGTTATTCCCAGTTTTTCCTGCTCTGGTTCTTTTGGTTTTGCCTGCTGGTTTCGCTCACTGGTGCTCATCTTTACATTTAAAGTGTTTGAAGTCATTCTCTGTCTCACGGGCCTTAAAAGCATCACCGCTCTCACCTGTTTCCTGTTTCTCCTCTCAGTTTTCAAGCATGCCTTGGGCTGGAGGTGTATGAGGGGGCGGAGTCTGTCATGCTGCCCTGTCAGGTACCAGAGGACGTTTACCGGGACGCCACAGCAGTGATTTGGAACCGCAAGAACCTCAGCAGCCCGACAGTCCATCTGCGTCTGCAGAGCGGGGACGATCTCACGAGACAGAATGTTAATTACTTCAACCGAACATCGATGAGAGCCGACGCTCTGCAGACCGGAGACCTCAGCCTCACGCTGAGGAAGCCCGTAGTCAATGACACCGGCACCTACACCTGCACCACCCGAAGATTTGGACTAGATCAGAGCAAGACCCATTTGCAACTGAGGGTGGCAGGTCAGTGCTGTCGATAAAGGTCAGAGGTCAGAGTCATACTCTGAGAATCTGCTGGTGATCTTCAGGTTGTTTGTGTTTGTGTGGACAGAACGTCCTCCTCCTGGTCCCACTCCTCCTCCAGTCTGGCCCAAAGTTGTCTCGGGTGTCCTGGTTCCTGTGGTTCTCCTGGCTGTCGGCTTTGGGGTCTTCATGTACTTTAGATATAAAAGGTTAAAGAACAAAGAAGGTATGTGTGTTATCAGACCGCTCCACGGACATCAGTCAGTGTTTATGATGACATACAGCATTTACCACATGAGCATGGAGCTCATGTGCTGCTTCGTTCTCTTCTCAGTCGTTCAGGTCGCAGCAGAACCAGGTGATGAGTCGGTTGTGCTGACCTGCAGAAGCACCGTTCAGCCCGATGGTGCTAAAGTGGTGTGGAAGGACAGGAATGAGAGGAAGGTGCACGTATGTCAGAAAGACTCTGAGCAGCCTGAAAAACAGCACAGACGCTACAGAAACCGAACAGAGATGAAGAAAGAGCCGCTGAGGACCGGAGACCTCAGCGTGACCCTGAAACACCCCACAAACACCGACAGGGACACCTACACCTGCACCGTCTACAGCAGGGAGGGGAAAGAACTGCTGGAGAAACAGGTGGAGCTGAAGATCAAAGGTCAGTGCTGCAGATACAGAGGCTTGGATATTGTTATTGACGGCTGTCTTCTCACAGTGTGTGTCTTTGTCTGTCACACACCTGCTGTGCAGCAGCTCTGTTATACTGACGAACACAGACGCCATCTTTGTTGTTCCTGTCAGACTTCATGAGGTCTTCCTGTTTGCTCTCTGTTAGAAATATGAGCAGCAGTGGACTTTGATGGGATGTTACGGTGCAGGCTTGAACAGCTGCTGAACAGATGTGAGTTCGGGGGAGCGTTGTCGTGTTCTCAGAGGAGCAGCAGTGAGTCTTTGAGGAACACGATGCTGCTTTCTGTCATTTGTCTGATGAGTTCTATCAGCGATGGAAACAAGAGTCTGCTGCTGATATGAGAGGAAAGCAGCAGCAGCTGGTACTGGACGCTCCTGCCTTCATGTGGTACAAAGCAGGACTGCACTCTACTCTCAATCTTAAACATGTGTAGTGTTCACTGTGAAAGCAATTAGAAACAAATCAGTACATAAATAATGACGGTGAGTTATATAAAGGCCAAGTGAGGCACCAGGACTCTAATCAGATAGATTTAAAAACAACTCTATAACAGTATCATTTCTATTCGTCAGGATTCTTCATTGTTAGAGTGAAAGACGTAATCACACTTCCTTTTCAGCATGTTGGTGCTGCGTTTCTGCTGATGTCCAAATCTTTATGAAGTTATAAAATCAACCCTCCTTATAGAACAGTTCAGTGCGTTTGTGTGAAACGATAAAGCTTGTAGCAAACCTGGTGTTGGACAGACCTCTTCAATGAGTGTGCAGATGAACTGCAAACATGGCTTCTTAGTAACAGTGTAACTGCGTGTCACTGATCACACGTCTTCAGGCCCTCGTCTTCAAATGACTGACTGGGACCAGCATCGAGATGAAGCTGGTGACTTAGTGATGTTGCTGCTGATGTGATGCTTCTGTGGCTTCCTGATGAACACGTGTTTCAAATGCTGCATAAATTAAGATTAATTGACAAACATGAATGCCGTGTCTTCGTACAGCTCATGTTGTGCTGTTGTCCTCTCAGAGTGCCGGGTGGAGGTGGTGGAGGGGGCGGAGTCTGTCCTGCTGCCCTTCAAAACCACAGAAAACCTGCCCGGGGACAGCGATGTGGAGTGGAAACGCCATGAACCCGAATACATGAAGGTCTGTGTGTATGAGAACGGCTCTGACCGGCCCGACAAACAGGACGACCATTACAGAGGTCGCACTGAGATGAACACTGACCTGCTGACCACCGGAGACCTCGGTCTGACCCTGAGACAGCCCACAGTGAAGGATGCTGGGAGATACGCCTGTGAGGTCAACAGCAAGGAGGCCTGGAGATACAAGAGGGTGTGGCTCACAGTCAAAGGTGAGTTGTAATCGCTGTGAATGTGTCTAACGTCCTATCTTTACATCAGTTCTGTCTGTTTGCAGTTAACTTTAAAAAAGCATTTCAAGTCATAAGAAAGGGCATCGAGAGAGCTTTATGCCCCACGACGTCACAATGATGCTACATAGTTTCACTAAGCCAGACACACACAGCTTATAGAAGCCAAAGATTTCAGTACACCGTTTTAGTCTGCAATGCTTCCGGGTCAAAGGTCAGCAATTAAAACATCAAAGTTTAGCTCCGAGTGTTGTTTGTGACTTCTTGCGTTTCCTCTGCAGGGACAGATCAGGTCCAGGATCCAGCCGAGGACAACAAGGCTTTTGAAATGACTCCTCTGATGGACCAGCTTGATCTGACTGGTCTCTGATCAGGGATCTGACTGGTCTGTGAGTCAGAGGGAAACACCAGTAATGGGCTGAAGGGGATGAAGAGGGGACGATGCTGAGTTCCTCCACGTTCTGTGAGGATGTTTTCTGTTCACACAGCTGAACCCTGCAGTGGCTGTAGCTCGGCGCACTCATTTGTTGCCACATTAGCACAAACAACACTCATCTTTTACTTACACATTTATATTTCACTTACCCATAATGCCTTGCTGTTCAGGTCTCAGCTGTGGCCTGCTGTTTAGTTGATGTTTGGACCTCATGTCTGCACGGTCTCAGAGCTCCTACACGTGTGAGGCTTTAGTGTTGGCTGTGTCTGTGAAACTGCACAAAATATAAGACAACTGACACTTTAACATACATGTAGCGAACGAAGTGTACGAGGAAAAAGAACAATGTTTCTGTAAAGTGCTGCTGAAGAGAAAAGAAATAAAGTCCATCATCTCTCTGACTGATGTATGGACATTTGTTATTCTTTACACAGTTAATCACTTTGGTTCACTCCTCACAACACCTCAAAGTGGCTCAGATAACCCGTCGTTACAACCAAGGTGTGGAGTTCATGTTCAGACAGTCTGAAGACAGGTGTGTCAGGTTACCTGTGGATTCAGAATATGCTGTGGGTGTGGATGTTGAGCTCACACTGACTGAAGACTGCTGGCTAACAGCTAACGCTGCATGAACTCCTGCACGGCGCTGCTGACCGCGTCCATCCCATAATGACCTCAGTGTACCATCCTGTGATGTTTCCAGCAGGAAAACAAAGCTCAGATCAGACGTGACGATGAGTCCACTGCACTCAGACGCCACAGTCACAGATCTCAGTGCAGCAGATCTTTGGTAGAGTGACATCATAGCCTGTGTGTGATGACATCACATTAGCATGGACCCAAACCTCTGATGTTTCCAGGACTGATGAGTCCGTGTCATTAACAAGCAAGGGACCAGGGTGCCGGCACGGTGTACCTAATAAAGTGGCCATCAAGAATGCCTCTGCGCGACGTCTCCATCTCAAGTGTCTCCAGCAGGGGGAGGCGCCTGATCCTTTATTGTCACAGAGACATGTCATGGCCACTTTATTAGGCACACCTGTTCCGCTGCAGCCGCTCTGTGCTTGTGTACCTAATAAAGTGGCCCTGTGTGTGAACCCACAGTCACAGGAGACGAGTGTCTGATATGTTTGGTTTTACAGACGAGAGAGAACACAGAGGGAGAATCTGTGAGGTCAACATCGAGGCCCCACTCAGATGAAGAGCCACTGACAACCACAGACCTCAGGCTGACCACAGTGGCGTCTGCATCCTTAGACAGAGAGACAGAAAACTGACTTTGTCAGAGGTCAGTAAACACATCACAGAGGTCATTGAGAAGCAGTGCATGATGGGACGATGAGTGACACAAACTAGAAGCTCTCTGTCACAATCTGTTGAGAAATCGTCTCAGCTTTCGTTCCCCGTCCGACAGCACGCATTTACTCTGACACTGAAAGTGAAACTGGGCAGATGTCAGACTGATACCACACATTTCTTTTAAAAGCTGGTGTTTTCTGTATTAACCGCTGTGGTCATGTGGTTCAGCGCGGTCACTTCCGTTCAGTTCAATTTTATAAAGCGCCAAATCACAACAACCGGTTGGGGCGAGAGAGGGAAGACAGGATAAAGACATGCTGTGGAAGAGAGACAGGTTAATCAGTATGATTGATTGCAGGTAGAGTCGTGGTCTCCGAGCTGAGACTGTCTCCGGTTTGTCTCCTCTGCTCAAAGCTGCAAACTCCTCAGAGCAGCTCTGAAGCTTCAGAGAGAAGAAGCTCCCTAAGAACCCCTAAGGTGGAGTGAAACATTCACAGCTGGATGTTTTTACGTGACTCTTTCATGACATCAACACATGTGAGGTAACTATAAATCTCAGGAGTGTCTATCAAACTCCTGCGATGTGTTTGCTCCTGTTCACGGCTGTCGCTGACTCTGAGCCTCTGTAATAAATCTCCAAGCTAATTAATGATGTAGGGCTGACTCGTGCGCAGCTGTTTTACAAAGGTTAACTTTTCTTTATTGAGCATTTATTCTCAGTCTCAGTGCACATTTATTTAGAGCCGTGAGTACACCTCACTCACCACTCACACTGAAAACACACGCAGGTTATCAGACATGACCATTAATGCTGAAGCAAAGAAGAAGTGACACTGACCGATAGTGAAACTGAGACACTGCCCAGAGAAGTGGATAAGAGGAAACAAGCTTTATTTACTGATCTCGGTTCAGGATTCTGGTCAGACGAGACACAAAAACACAAACCAAGTGTTTGTTTACAAAGTTTATAAGTAGTACTCTGTGTTTTATAAATGTGTATAAATGCAGCTCAGTGCATGTCTTATCAATCTTCTATATACCATTGCTGCTCCTTAGTTTACCTTTATAAACACAGATGTGTTGTTATGACTGTGATCAGGATTATCAGCAGCAGTAACAGCTGATATCAGCAACTCTAACAGTAACATGTCTGTATTTATGAGTGACTCAGCAAGGAAGCGAATACTCACTAACGTTTAATGGTGTAACTTTAAAGTGCTGCACGTGGTTTATGTGTGAGCTCTCCGAGTCAGGTGCGTCTAAAAAGCATGAAGCAAACATTTAGAAAAAAATGCAACGAAAATGTGTATTTTTTAAATTATTTGTTTATTTAAATAATTGATGAAAATGTGTTAAACTGAATGTTTTGTTGTTTCCTGTAAATGGAGCATTTCATATAATTACATAGAAAACTAAAGTTTCTGGGTCATTGTGGGCGGCGATGGTTTAAAATTAGTGTCAGACTGAAGCTCTGCTGGGTTTTCACCGTAGTAACAGTGAACAGAGTGAACTGCAGGAGTGTGTCTCGTGCAAGAGACTCGGGCTGGAAACATGATGAAATGTGAGGATGTAAGAAGATCAAAATGAAGCTCAAAGAGAATAACAACATCATAACTGTATCGTAACTGAGCTTTGAAGAGTTATACTTGTTTGCGCTTGTCTCTGAGTCGGTTAGGTTACAGCTCACCCTCCGGTCTGTGGGCAGTTTCACGCATAATAGGAGTTAAAAACCATGACGAAGTTAAAAAAGTGTTAAATAACAGATCGTGTTATTCAGCTGATATGTGTCCACTAATAAAAACATAATAATATTAGGGTACTCGTCTGGGGCGCATTTAGGAATTTAGAAAATGCATGAAGACAAAAACGTGACTCATAATTACATCAAAGCTCAACTAAACTAAAGCCTCCTCTGAATAATTCTGTAAAAAAACTCAACAAAGGTCTAGGATCATTTTAATATATCCTTTTATTTTTTCCAATATTGTTTCAGTTGTTTTAGTTAATTTTATATCATGTGATGAGAATACTTTCTTCACAGCTGGTTTTAGTCTTGAGTTTTAGCTTCCACCCTGTGGCTGTGTGACTGCTGAGAACATGACATGACAACACCACAGGAAGCTTCCCCATCAGCTGAGCTGTGACATCCTCCAGCTGTTATATGGCTGGCGGATGTAGACAGTACAGAGAAAATAGTTCCAACATTAAACTGTTACAAGGTGTAAAGTTAAACATATACAGATTGAAACGTTATGTTATTAGTAAAAGTGGGAAACCCTCTCTGGGCTTCACTGTTACAGCAGTTTAACCTCCAACATCAGACGTTCATCTGTGAGCCGATACACAAAAGCTGGGATTCAAAGAGTCAGCAGGAGAGCGAGCGGAGAGCAAAGGCATGTCCACAGTCCGTGACATGTTTCAGTAACAAATCTTTCAGGAAGTGACTTTGAGGAGCGGGAAGAACCCAGTATCACATGTGCAGTCTGAGAAATGAGAAGCTGGAGCTTCCCGCACGATGGACGCTTCCCTCTGCTCTGTGTGATGAAACGTCAGCGGAGTCAGAGCAGCAGACTCATTCAGAGTATTCAGAGTCCTCGACGAGCGCATCAGCCGTGATGTCAACCACCGCCTCGTAGTTTTCTTCAATGCACTGGGTCATCTCCACGGAGACGGGAAGTCTGTTTGCTGTGGGCAAAGCATCGGGGTGAATGTTAGTCTCCACACATATACTTACAGTCCTCAGTGATCGCTGCTTTTCACTGGAGACATGCTGCACCGCGGGCACCATCGTATGTCCAAGTTGGCCCACAGTGGGCAGCTGTGGGTGAACTGTAGGGCTGTGACTCATTACCGATGATACAGGACAATGGGTTTTAGTCTTTTAGCCTCGTCTCCATCATGTCTTCCAGCTTTGGGGTCTCCAACTCCAGTCCTCAGAGCTACCGTCCTGCAGCTTTTAGATGCATCCTTGTTCCGACACACCTGAATCAAATGAATGGCCTGTTACCAGGCCTTTGCCCAACTCGATGACACGCTGAAGAGGTAATTCAACCATTTGATTCAGCTGTTTCTCTGCATTAAAGCTACAGGACAGTAGCTCTCAAAGACTGGAGTTGTAGATCTCTGCTTTAAACCGTGCAGCTCTGGAGGTCTGTGCAGCTACAGATCAGGCGTGTGCACCTTTTACTGCACCAGGTCACAGTTGAAGGGTTCACAATCAGGTTCCAACTTCTTAAAATAGTTTCAGACACTAGAAGCTGTTACCTTTGGTTCTTGTCTGCTGTTATTTGGGTGTATAAAGGTTAGTATGTGAGCCTGACCCTGGTTAAGAGCGGTGAAATATCAGATTAAAGCTATGGTTTGGCTTTAGCAGTCCGGTTACTGTAATAATTAAAAAGGCAGTGCAGACGTTTGTGATTTTACAGTCAGAGCTGCCAGCAGGACAGCAGCAGTGATGCACCTGTGTGCAGGTATCTACCTGAGCGCCTGGTGGCCAGCCGGTCCAAGCAGATGGACAGCAGCAGGCCGGTGGTGATGGAGTAAATACAAAAGGCCAGCAGGTGGGAGAGGAGTCTCAACACAGGCACACAAGAAGAAGGAGCAGGAGGAGGACGAGGTGAGGAACAGTTGGTGGGGGGAGGAGGAGGGGGAAGAGAGGGGAAGGGGGACATGGTTTCACGAGAATGGACAGATGATCTGACGGAGGTCGTCGGGGGATCTGCAGGAGAGATAAGGAGGCGTCCTCAGTTCATTCACTCAAGGCTCAATGTGAGCGGTGCAGCGAGGCTACACCACAAACACAGGCTTTCATCTCCATCTATTAGTAATAGATGCTGAAGAGGAGCGTGCTAGTTATTGCATCATTATTGATCGTGATTATAACCACAGTCAAATCTCAGAGTGATGAATTCTCTCTCTTTGCTCCACCTCCTCTCCATCGAGGTCAAGGACATTAGAAAAACACAAAAGAGGCCCAATTTATGATGACATCAAATGATGTCAGTGTTCTGACCTCTGACCCTCAGGTAGCTATGAGCAGATGATCCACTCAGATCAGTAGCACACCAGTAGAAACCCTCATTGGACTGCTGCACGTTGGAGATGGTGTGCTCTTTATGTCCAGATACAAGACGACGTCCACTGTAGAAGAAGTAAGCTGCCACTGTTTCACCAGTGCTGAGCCTGCAACGCAGAGTGAGATTACTTCCTTTTGTCACAGGAAGTGCCGGGATCTCCAGGATCACTCCTTTTTCTGGGTAAGAGAGACAAAGGTACACACATGTAGACTGGAAGCTTCTGGAGACAGCATGCAGGAGGTCAAATTCATGACCGTTCATCATCACAGACTATAAATGATGGTGTGGCCACTGCAGTCTGACCCTCTGCTTTTATAATGATCACTCAGAGGCATTTTCTTCTTGCTATGATGGAGAAGAACAGATAGCTAGCATAGCTGTCAAGCTGCTTCCATAGACCATACTGATGTTTGCTCACCAGTGCTACATATCGTCCAAATTCAAACTGGCATTTCACTGAAGTGCAGCACAAACTTCTGAGACAGTCTGTTATTACAATTAACTAACCAGCAGCCATCCTATTGGTCCAAAAGCATAAACACGGTCCAGAGGTAACTTTGCCAGTAACCACAGCTGCCTGTCAAAGCCCCGTCACTGAAAGAGGCCACGCCCCCACCAATGAAACTTTAATACGGTTTAAACAGGCGAGTAACAAAAACATTCTCTCCCAGTATTTTGCCCTTTTATTGTTACGAAGGGCAAAATTAGATTCACTTATTTATTTATTAGATATTTTAACATGAGAGCCTGTGAGGGCTAACGCCCTGCTGGAGCCTCTAGTGGACATTACAGGAACTGCAGGAACTTTCAGCCCCGCAGGTCGATGGCTGTTCTGTACCACAGTGCAGCAGATTTAACACCATCTAGTTTAGTGTAGCAGTGAGTTCTAAGTACTTAAGTATCTCCTAATTACAAGTATTTTAAGTATATCAATGTTTTCTAGCCTAAAAAATCCAAAACAATAAGAACAAAAATCTGAGACATTAATTGAAACTTATATTAAAACAATATGAAAGTAAAATTCAGACAACGTGTCATTTGAAGTATAAACTGGATTCTTACGGCTCATCTCCACATAAGCACCACATTGTTGATCTATGGATCGAGCTGTTATTCACACATTCAAGGTGCTTTGTGCTAAATGCACCTGCATATATATAAAAATAAATATATGGTTGTACTTCACCTGTCACAGGTGGTCCTGATACTGCCCTTAAATGTTCAGAGCAACTGTGGAAAAAAAGAAGAAAAGAAACAACTTACTTTACCTGAAACACTGATGATGATGTCATCACTCTTCTGCCCAGAACTGGTTTCACACCAGTAAATCGCTGTGAAGGTTGTTTTAAAGTCCTGAACACACGAGGACTCATCAAGTCTAGTGAAGTCCGCTGCTGCTCCACACTCATCAGTCTGGTTTCCTCTGGTCCTCCTCACCGTCCATCCATCATCACAGCTCAGAGACACTGGAGAGGATCCGCTGAAGACCTGCTGAAGGTTTGGACTGACAGACAGAGACACTGGAGGACACATGTGTAAGTGTGTTTGTGTTCTTGTTGGAGTCTCACTGATCGTTTTCACATCATCTCCTCACCTGCAGAAACAGTCGGTGCAGACAGCAGCAGCACACACACACCTGCAACAGGAGGAAATCCACAGACCTGAGCTTTTTCTCACGTCCTCAGAGGTGCACACTAACAGACTGTGGCAGACGTCCACAGATCAGGAAGAAGACTGGACCACCCGGGACAAAAGACCGATATTTTCTTGGTTCCACATTCCTCACTATAAAGCACCTGAAGTACTGCTGAATCATCACAGCCAGATTGCTTTCAGCTTTTAGATCATTGTGTAAGTTTCCTCATACGGGACAAAATATAAAAACTTTAAAGGTTTCAAAAACCTTCCAGTTCCTGGTTTTCTTTCCTCATTTGTAATATTTATTTTGTCCTTTGTTGTTTGTGTCTATATTAAGAATGAACATTTAAAAAACAAGCACATCTTTTACAGAGACCCTGACTCTAAACTACAGACCCTGCTGAGCATTAAACATTTCTGATTGGATTATTTTCTGGATTTACACAGAACAGAAAGGAGCAGACTTCCTGTTTTCTCCCCCAACAACACGGAGTAAACTCTCAGGATTCATCCAGTGTCCGTCCTTTACCTGGAGCTGGACTCACTGAGTGGGTGAGTGGGTGTAGGATTGCTGTGTGTGACTCACCGGGGAGCAGAGCCACAGGTGCAGTCTTCATGGTGTCTGGATGAGCACCGAGGGTCAGTGTGAGCTGCAGACTTTCACTTCAGCTCTTTCACAGCCGCCTGTTACCACATTAAAGACGGAAGCCTCAGTATAAGGAGGGGTAACAGGAGCAAAGGTCTGAGCTCTCAGCCAATCACGTTCAAGTACGGCCTTCTTAAAACTGACCTGCAAACGCTGCAGTTTAGAAATCCTTCGCGAGCTGTGAGAGTCTATCAGAGGTCCTTCAGTCAGTCTGAAGAAAACACAACAGCTGAGATTGTTAGTCTATAAACAAACTGCACCACAGTCACATGACGGCAGCGTCGCCACCTCTGAGCCAATGAGTTCCTGCAGCTCAGAAGCTGCTCACCTGCTCACATCACCTGCTCACATCACCTGCCTGAGTTCAGAGGCTTCTCTTTGGATGCACACACAGAGCTGCAGACCACGTCTGACCAGCAGCGACTGGTTTGAATCTGACCTCCAGCTCTTCTGCTGGACCTCTAAAGTGGGTCTCGTGTCCAGACACGAGTGTTTTTAACTCTCAGTGGCTCGTGTTGGACAGGAGATATGTGAAATGTGCCAGAGTGAACTGGATGAAAATAAGAAGTAAAACAAGCTCACAGTGAGTCAGTGTGGGTGAGCTGTGGCCAGGACAAACCCACAGTTAGTCCACGTGATCCCACCTACATTTTACTAAACCTATAGGCCTTTATGTGTGAAACTGCAGGGGCCCTGTGGGTGATAACTGTGGGTTTGTCCTGCCCACAGCTCACCCACACTGACTCACTGTGGGCTCAGGAGGACACGTTAGCCGGGGCATTATTATTTATTATAAAATAAAAGATGAAGCCAGAGAAGATGTTTTATTACACGCTCAGAAAATCGATGCTAGGAAGGAAGGAAGGAAGGAAGGGAGGGAGAAAGAAAGAAAGAAAGAAAGAAAGAAAGAAAGAAAGAAAGAAAGAAAGAAAGAAAGAAAGAAAGAAAGAAAGAAAGAAAGGAGAGGAAGAAGAGGTTAGCTTTAAAGGGGAGGATGCTCATTTAAAGCTTTGGTGTGAGTCCTCGTGTTTAAATTACGTTATGTTTGTTCACACTGTGAAACCTGCTGCTAAACAAACTGAGGCAGACTGACTGTGTTGTTTAAAGTCTGCATGAAAGTCGTCTGCAGGTTAGTTTGCTGCACTGTGATTGGTTTAAAGCTTCCTCCACCACTTCAACCTCTTCTCTGCCCACTTCCTGTTTCGAGGCAAAGTCAGCCTCCTCAATGTAAGAAACAGGACAGATATATTTTTACATTTTCCTTCTCTGCTTGTGTTTAACTTACCTGAGTAAAGCTGAGAATCTTTATTGGAAATATAATTTAGACTGAAACGAAGTTTGTAATTCCATCTACTGATGTTATTATATTAATATGACACGAGGTCCAGTTGAACAGTAGTATCTGTACTTCTGCTTATTTTCCTCTGAGTTATTGAGCCTGTCGCTAGTTAGCTAACATAAACTAAGTCTGTCATTTGCAGCCATTCAACCAACCACATCACGTCATGATGCGCACAAGATGGCGCTACACGTTTTTAAAACTTTAAGCTCTTATTTGTGAAATCCAGCCTCACAGTTATATCAGTTTTTGAGAGCAGGGCTCAGTGATGGAAATGGGCCTTTACACATTTAAGAGTGTCGCGTCCACTTTAACGGGATCCTACAACTTTAAGTGGAGTGGACACAGCTCAGAGTACGAGAGCTGATGAAGCTCACGTTCACTTCACCATCGGCCTGTACAAATAACTGTCGATGTCTCAGTCTTCCATCAAATGCCAACGCTCAGCATCATCTACAGCAGCAGCTGATTCTCAGACTGAACAGGCTTCATTTCTGTCTCTTTCTCCCACCTAGTGGTCATTCAGTGGTACTACAGATGATACGTCCCTTACAGAAGCACGAGGCCTGACTCAGTGTGGCGTCATAAGTCGCTCACATCAGTTCAGCTCTTTTAGTTTTGTGTTTTTGCAGTTTCAGTTTGTTAACAATCACAGAGACACTCAGTGGACACAGGAAGTGTTGACTTAAAGTTTTGGACAGTTTTCATGTTGCACATAAAGACTTCGACCTCACAGCGACGGGTTGTTAGAAGTGTGCGTGTTCTGTTTTTGAAAGCTGCAGATCATCACTCCAAAATTCTTCATCCCCTTAAAGTCCTCCTACTCCTGCTTGGAGGCAAGTCCATCTGGCAGTTTACAGTTTTCATGCAGGTCACATCGAATGGTTTTATTTTGAAACACCTTGATGGTCTCCTCCATCCTGCCGCTCTGGGGTCAAACTGTGGGATTACCCGGGTAGGACGGTCTGATGTCCAGACCACACCCACGGGTCCTGTTCTGATGCGATCCTGCAGCCTCGATGCCTCGACTGCTCAGTCTGATCACGGGGCCGTTGATGGTGGTTGGTGATGCTTCATATTCAGCTGGATCAGTGACGGATGGAGGCACTTTTACTGCAGTCACACAAATCCTAAACAGGGAGGAGACAAGCCAACAGTGTCTGTGCTCAGATCCATCAGATACTTGATAGAGCGAGGCTTCAAACAGAAGTCAAGCCAGCACAGAAGACCATGGGCTGCCCTCTCCCCTCCCTGATGGACATTTATTCCTCCCGCTGCCTCAGCAGAGCAACAAACATCATCAAGAACAGCTGCACCCTGATTTTGACCTGTTCAACCTGCTGCCCACAGGTGCATCAGCACAAAGACCCACAGACTCAAGAACAGTTTAAGGTCACAGTCTTATTCACAGAAGATGTTCCTGCAAGCAAAGAAACCATGATGCTTACTGTGAAGACTACAAAAGTTTGGTTTACAAATCCAGTGCCAGCAAATAGTGCGGAGACTGTAATTGATTGTAGATCACTGTAGTGGTTAATCGCACTCCAGAGCACTCAGGATGATCAAAATAGAAAAGTTACAGATCATGATTGTGCAGGAATGTGGGCGTGAACCAGAGCAAGGTCAAAGAAACAATAGCTCTATCAATAATATCTGTCAAGGGGCAGGTGAAGGCAGGTCTGCATCCATAGGTGAAGCTGCACCCACGATGTAGGAGCGCCAACAAGGAGGAGCTTCATCTGAAGCCCCGCCTTCACTCTCTGATCACACATCACTTCCTGTTCACATGTTTATGTAATCATTTTAAATCTCTACAGTACCTGATCAATAAATAATAAACAGGTAGATTAAGGTGAGTTGTAATGCAGCATTACAGTTCAGCACACACGTAGAAACATGCACGATCAAAATGTTCTTCTCTGCTGTTTGTTTAAAAAGCTGACCTTCTCTAAAGCTCTGATGTTTCCTGACAGTCGGCAGCTTTGACCTTTGACCCACGTGAAGCTTCCAGGATATTTGTGGACGGGACGCTCCATGGATCATCAGAACACAAGGAAACAGCACAGCAGCAGTGAGGAACAACTGTGATAGACATAAGTGATGAACGAAGTATTTTAATGTGTATTTATTTATATAATGATCATCACAGGGCTTTCTGCAGCCCTCCAGTGGATCATGGTGATGTGCATGCACCAGGTCATTGTGGTTTTATGTGGTTGTGGTGTTATGCCTGGCTGTGGAAATCGTCAGTGTTCTGGCATCATTCAGCACCACTGAGTGATCACTAGAGGGAGCAGGAGACCAGGAGTGAAACTGTGGCTACAGCAGGGCAGCTGTTGTGAGTCCCAGCTGTGATCTGAGAAGCAGCTGGATGTGAGTAAACTAGATCAGGTTAGTGTTGGTGGTTGATTTAATACGAGCTGGTTCTGTGTGGCTGTGTCCACTGGAGGGGTGAAGTCGGGCCGTAGAGCTCGACCACGACCACAGTCTGTTTATTCAAAACAATTCAGGTTACATTTGAAAATTAATCACTTTATAGCTTCGATCACGATCCTCCACTATGGGAAGATACGGCTGCTTGGTAACGTGGTTTCCTTTCTCCATTTATTGTTTTTACTCTATTCAAAACGTATCTGCGTACAGCCCAAATTCAAATAAACCTACATTTTTAAAATCAGTTATCCACTTTGCAAGGGCTTCATATACATGGACTAACTGTGCTCTAAACCGGAGTCTGGATCAGCAGGCTCAGATATGAAGCCAAAACTGGACAATTAATCACTCAGTTTATATTATGTATCAACAAAACCCCGATAAAACCGAATGATGCTGTCATTCAGGTCAGTATGATAACAACGTTTATCCATAACAACCAAAACTGGCAGTTTCAAACAAGATGGCTAGAAAATCTAAAACTGGTTAAATTCATAGAGGAGAAAACAGAAAATGACTGAGTTAAAGATCAAACCGGCGCCTCGGTGAGATGGAAGGATTCAAAGCATCTATTAGAGGTGAAGTCCTCAGCTTTATGAGTACAAACAGCAAAAGAATGGAATAAACTAATTAAATCTTTGGAATTAGACTTAAATATTAGCGATGAATCAAACTGTTACGTTTGAGAAGTGAATGTAATCAATTATCTTCTGATACAGCAACAAAACGTCTAATGAGGCGATCTTATTATGATCAGTGGGAGAAAGTGGGAAGGCCCTCGGCATGGAGTTAAGGAAAGCAGTCTTTAACAGCACAAAGACCTCTTCAGGGAATGTAACAGTAGATCCATGTGAAATTTATGACAGTTTTAGAGAATTTTATGAAGATGTTTATAAATCATGCCCAAGCTTCAGAACAGGAACCTTAGCTCACATTCAGTCATAGACACTGAGGTACCCCAGGCTCTCCAAGCATTAACAGTGGTAAGAGCACCCGGGCCGGAGGCCTTCTGATTGAATTTTACAAAACTGTCCAAGAAAAATGAATAATTTCACTTTTTAACATGCATGAAGAAGCATATCAAAGTGAGGCTCTCCACCCACTGAGACAGCAATGAGTACTTGTTTACCTGGTAAACCTGCAGAGCGCTCATCACTCAGACCAACGACTCTGATGGGGGTGGACACTAAAATACTTCTATTAGACTCTTGGATCGCACATTTAGTTAGCGTTGTACGAAAGCATCGAGGGTTTCACAACATAAGGAGGGTTCTGAGTGTAGGCTCGTCAGGCCTCGGACAGGATAGAGCGCTCAGATTTATGTAACGTTCTTACAGTTAGGATTTGGAGATCACTTTCTCAGAGGGGTTCAACCTTTGTAACAAACAATACTTTCTAAACCCGTCACATTAGCCATCTCCTATGCTAGTTATTCTGACG